TATACATGTTAGTTTATACAGGAGTACTGCAAGCACACACACACACACACACACACACACACACACACAAACATACAGATTTGATGATTACAACCTCATCCTCTGACGCAGCTTCATGGACCCTGAATATGCTTTTATTACTGTCTTCACCCTCAGCAAGACAAGAAAGGAAAAATCATTGTATCACAATTGTGCCCATATCTCTTTCCACACGCAGTTTTAGATGAGGGAACTGCCTTTTTCCTACTTTAATTCTTAGTCTTTGCTGTGAAGTGAGTCTAGATGTCCCCTTGACAATCTTCATTGGCATAAAATATTTACGAAGAGACATGGATGAAAATTTCCTAAAGGTTGTCATGGCTACGCCTAACAATTCACTCAGTGTGCTTCTGCACTTGTCTTAAATTACTCAGCCTTTCTCGTACTTTCCCTCCGTCTTCCAGCGTGACTCAGTTCCTATTATGGTATAACTTATCTGAGAGTAATCGATCTAACATAGCATATGTGACTCAGACATGAGAAGAGGAAAAAGAAAAACTACTTCATCTTTTGTTTTTTGATTTTATTTATTTATTTAGTTGTTTGTTATTCATTTACTTACTTACTTACTTATATTTGCATCAGATTGGTAGCAAAGCATAGTATGTAACATGATCTCCCACAGGGGAATGTGATGAACTCATCATACAGTGATCTCCTGTGTCATGGGAAATAATTAAAATATTTGTTACAAGTGTATGTGTGGTGCCATTCTATAGTGATTTTGGAATGAATTTTCAATAAATTAAATAAAAGAAGCTCCTTTCAATCTCTAATTTAGAATGCGCATTATAGTTAATGAAGAACAGCTCGGACCAGTCCACGTGTGTCATGTTAAGAGTGGGCTATCCTGCTTCAAAGTGAAAACTATTAATCTTCATTTCCTGTCTTTAGTGTTTCCAATATCTAAGATGCTTTATGGGAAAAGAACACACGTTTTGTTCAGCTTTAGTAATTAATGTAACAGAAGAATGCAGGAAGCAGTTTATATAGGCTGGGTACTAATTATCCTGTGTTTATATTAAAAAACAAAAGCTAATACATACACACTGTTGAAGAAAATAATATTTCCAGTCAAAAGGAGTATTACCGCTAAAATGAGGAAATTGGTAATGTTGGATGAGCTGGGAAAAGCTGAAGATCCTTTAGTGTCTCTTTCAAACAAGGATATTTTGTGGGAGAGGGTGAAGAAAAGTATCACACGTTGCAAAGTCAACTAGGGAATAGGAATTCCACATCCACGGTGGGAGTCTCTTGGGAATTTATGCATCGCATTATATGTCAAACATGATATGTGATATAAACAGATATATGATATATTATATAAACATATATATGATATAAACATAAATCCTGAAATCATGAAAATATAAAAAAAGCCCATATGACCACTCGTTTGGGAAATTTTGTTGTGTGATTTGTTTGTTGTTTTCTCCTATGTCAGAAAACTCAGCGCAAGCATAAGTTTTTGTATGTTATTCATTCTGAAAAACTCTTAGAAATCTGTGATTAGAAATATATGATCTTACATCTTTTAATTTTTTTAATTGCAAATTTTCAAAAGCCTCTTTATGTTGTGAAAAGTCTTGCATTATTTTTGTAACTCTTATTTCCAAACTAGTTGTAAAGCTGGTTAACTTATTGAATATTTTTAAAAATAAGAATCTCTAGGGGAGTCCTCCCACAAACACTTGAGTATATAATAAGGGAAATACACATAATATTATAAGGGGAGTAGTTGATTTTAAGTTATTACATTATTCTACATATCATCCAATAACGCAGTTAATGATCCAAGTTTGTAGTGGAGCAATATTATCCAGAGAATAGTAGCACTTCAAATGTTTAAAAAGAAAGAGAAAATTAAGATTTGTCACACAACAATCACATATCAATCATTATCATCTAAATATCATAGTTACAATCAATAAACTGTTATTTATTATACTGAACAGATCTATTATTTAAATAACATAAGGAAATATTTTTTAACAACAACAAAAAGAGAAAATGAGCAGTTAAGTCAACTTAAACCAGCATATAGTCATAATAATTAAAAACATGTTAATAAATATATTAATTCCAAAAATGCCAAATATTAATTTTAGATATTTGATTTCAACCTTGTAATGTTCAATTGCTTGCATTTTTATTAATATTTTTAATTTATGATAAAAAACAATTTAAAGAATAATTTGCTAATTTTGATATAATTTGTTTCTTCCTCTTTGGTATTAAGAAGAATTATGACAAGCACTGTATTTAAGATAAAACTACTGTAAGCATAAATAATTTGCAATAGTGTAGTAGAATATGTTAAATATTAAGCTTTACAAAGATGAGAATAGTTTTCAGTTTTGACCTGTGTCTTATATATTATCTCTGTTCAATTGATCTCACATTGCAAAATAAATACAATTTAAATTAGATACTATGTAGAAAGAGTGTTAGTGTTATAAACTGGCAAAAGATAGAAAGGAAAAAAAAATTATCTGGACATTTGGGAAAGAATCCAATGATTTCATGATTTATAACTTTCTTATCTTGAGGTAGTTCCCTGCTACTCCGTGTAATGATATACTTATTTAAGCCCATATAGAATTTTCAACCCTTGTGAAGAAGAAACCCTGATTGTTTTCACACACAACAGCTGTGAAAATATCCTGGCTCCTATCAGCATGTGTTCTGAAAAGCGTCAGTACTCATGGCTGCCGGTGCTGTCATTTGCTATCAGTCTCATCCTTAGCATTTTACAACAGTGAGATAAAGGTAGCGGCACATGATTTCCGAGAATGCCTTTCAAAAGTGAATTGCTGAAAGTAAATAACACAGTTTAAAGTCGTCATTGAAAAACCTGTGTGCAAACCAACAGCATATAAATCTCTAATACTGAAACAGACACATTAGCAAACTATTATATCCTGATATCAAAACATGAAGTATGTGTCATCACAAATTGCTTCTGATTCAGCCAAAGTTACTAATGACTTATCTTTTATTCATCCAAAAATTACATAAGGATGTGAATATTCCATAACTTTTTTTTTATCTGTAAGAAAGTAAAAATTGTGAAACTGTTATTTGGATTGATGTGATAGTGTACACAGGAATATTTATCATAAGCTTATCAGTATCTTTTCTTCCTATAAAATTTTCAAAGCTTTTCCAATGAACTTTTATGCTGCCAGATCTCCAGAAGTCATTCAACATTTTTCTCTAAGGTGCAAGAAACTTCCAGAAAGTACAACTACCTGCTTCTCTGCCACCCATACCTTTCAGGTCCATCATTTTGTTACCGAAACTTAAGTATTAGTTTCATGTCATCAGAACACAAAAAAAGCAAACTGCTATGGGGAGCAGACTCATTCACAGCTGAAATTAACATTATTTTATGCCAATGGACAAACAGCTTTCTCATTAAGCCTCAAAATCAATAGCCAAAGTAAAATTTGTTAAGGTCTCATTAATAAGATTAATTAGAGTTTCATGTTAACTATTCCAGCAAATTCTTCAGATTGTATTGCTAATTAATCAATAATAACATAAAATAAATTTCTTTTATATTTTCCTAATTTGGTAGAAATTTTGAGAGTAAAACATCAACTGCTACTCGTGACATTATTCTGCTCTGAATAAAAGACTGGAAAAGGTAAGTGATCTATTTGTCTTTTGGAGTTCCCAGCCTAAGTTTCCATCCCCTTTGGATATATTGACATGACAAAACCCATCATAATTTAATTGAAGCTAGTCTGACTAGAAAGTATTGACATCAACATGTCAGCACTTTCCCTCAAAGTTCCAATGCACTGAAAATCCAAGGCATATAGTTTTCTTTAAAGTTCAGAAATTGGTAGTGATTTCTCATAGTAAAAAACATCCTATCACCTCCATATAATTTACAACTATCCACTCACTGTATAAACAGTATATTAAACTTTGCTAACTATAGGAACAAATAATCAATTACAATTAATACACATTGCTGTTGTCCAGAAGTGGATTATTTAGACTCTTATATGTGTGAAAAGTACATAGCATACAAGAGTGATGGCCCATGAAATTAAGAATATTAATATTCTAGGACAATACATGGAAAAGTATATTGTTTTCATGAAGTAAGCTATAATTCATTGTTCAAATTTTTTATATAAAAATACAAGTTTTATTTACTAAGCAGCAGGATTCCAACAATATTGACTTCTATCAGAATTTTTTGAGGGATACTTGGAATTCTTATTCTCTGTGAAAGTTACTTGGACATGATTAAGTCATGTTGCAAACATATGCATTCTAATTGTTATATGCTAAGTAGAAGAAAAGCAAAATACTACACTGTGTATTGCTTATCACATAAATAAATTTTTTTGGCAACAAACATGTCAAATATTGGGAGAAATTGCATATTAATAATTGCCTCTACTAACTACCACACCTCATCAGCAACTGGGGAAACAAAAGACAGACTTTAAGTTTTCACAGGATAATAATTTTTTTTCTTGCTGAGAAATAGAAAAAGAGTTAAAAATAGAGCAAACATCGAATTGGTTCTTGAAAGCAACCTTAAAATTTGAACGACTTAGTTGACCGGATGTACTTAATATGGAAATACACACAAGACAGAAGGCAAAATCCAATCGCTATAATTGAACTTATATCAACCCCACTTCTGCTTCCCATAAAAGGCAGCTTCCTTCCAACCACTTCAAGTCAAAAACCAATCTATAGCCAATTGGTAGAGAATACCTTTTCTTCTTGACCTCAAGTTCTTCTTTCTTATTTTATATTCCATTCATCATCTCAGTAACTGGGACCCAGGACCTTCTCAAAGTCCCCTAAAGTCTGTAAAATCCGTTCTGTGAGGACTTGGGAGAAACTCCCCATAACATTTCCCCCAATTACCCCCAAGGCAGGGTATATACCTAACCCATCCTCCGGCTACCCTTGCCCTGGCTGGTACTTACCTGATGGTCCACAGCTTCTGCAGATTTCACCAGGTGTTTATCCTTGTATAAAGACCAAAGACCAATATTGGGCAGGAAAATTAAAGCCACGGTGAATAACAAAGTCATCTGCAGAAACCTCTTCTGTTTCCTCTTCATGGCAAATGCTCACAGTGGAGAAAAGTTAGAGAAGTCTCTCTGTCTGCTTCTTGTGTGTAATGGGAAAGTCCTTTCTTGTCTCCTGGGAAGCACCAGAACCTGAGGGGAAGCTACAAACTTTTGTTGCCTGCTCAGCACCAATCTGCAGGGTTCAGAGGGAGTTGGCCATCTGCAGAACAAACGCACAGTTACTTTTCTCCAGAAAACTATGACGACGGCATTATCTATTGGCTTAGAAATGCATGACTCAACTGAGGAAATCATTAAGTCTATTGACCTCCATTAATATAAAGCAGTGGAGGGAATACGATCGTTTCATAGAGTAATGTTAAGTTATGGGGAAGTCAAGAGCATGCTAGAAATATCAGGAAATAGCAGGTGTTTTTCTGTCGCTGTTTGCCCACCATCCCCCGCCCTTAGTGTGGGAGGTCCGGGGTGTAGAGTCGGAGATTAAGAGCGAGAACTGAATGGGAGGGAGTGGCTTGGTCCAGTCAAGTGTCTGGAAGATAAGTGTCCACTTTTGACATTGGAAAATCACCTTCCTTATCTTCCTATAACAGCTCTTCCTTTGCTTGCCTTGGGATAACCCACCTGAACTCAAGTTCAACTCCCTCTGGAGCCAGCTTGCCAGGCAGGATTCAGGACCACCATAGCCAGGTCAGAACTATGTTTGAATAAGGGTTCACAAACTCCTGAATCCTCATGCGCTGTCAGACCACTCCTCGGCAGGCAGCATCTAGGGGACCTGGGAACCTGGTGAAAGGAGGCTACAGATGTCGGCTGAGTCCTGCCAGGAAGTGCAGGAGCAAAGATGACCCTTCCTCGTGCAGTCCAGGGAAGGAGATCCTCAGAGAAGTGTGCTCTCCGCCCATCAATCTCGTCCCCTTCCTCTGCCGACGCTCTCACGCTCCACTGTTCATGTTACCATTCTTTTCCAGCAACTGAGCGAACCCAGCGAAGCATCACCAGCACCTCCAGGGCAGTATTTCCTTTCCGATCTCCTCTTCACGTCAAGGGACGGATGGCTGGCAGCAAATGCCAAGTGTGACCCGGCTTTAGAGACAAGTGGGAGAGGGCGCGCGGAGGATGAGTGAGGGATGGCGAGAACGCGCGTGGCGCTGGCACCCAGGCGTCCGCCTCCCGCTGGCTGTAGCTTGCCTGCTGGCAACGATATTGGTGCCTACCACGTGCGGGAGCCTAGAGGCCAGGAGGGGAGGGCGAGCCGCCAGGCGAGGGTGGCCACTGTCCCCCGTCTGCCAGATGCTATATAAACAAACCCAGAGACAAGGAGGAAGGGGCGGAGGACGAAGAAGCTGACGAAAAAATCGATCTGCAGCTCTGGGACTAGGGGATCTTCTTTTCCTCGGGTAATCTCGGACCGGTAAGGAGACCGGTTCCTCTCTGAGCTCACCCAAAAGGCGCCAGACCAGATATTCCGGAGTCAAAGTCGCCCAGAGCGGGCGGGCAAGGGGAGAATTCCTCCATGGTACTGGTGGGATCGCAGCAAGGCAGGCGCAGCAGCGGCAGCGGCAGGGAACAGAGGCAACCCAGTCTGGACCGGTCCCTGAGAAGAGGGTTCCCCAAGAATGTGGGTCTGCAGCCTAGGACAGGTACGTTGCATGGAGGGAGGATGAGGATCCCCACGCTGGACCGGCTCTCTAGCCCCAACTTCCCGAGAACACCTTGGAGATCAGAGGCAGCTCTCCTGGAGCCCAGCACCTGGGGCCCAGGTTGAGATTTGGCTGCACTAAATGATGCTTCTCCGCCCTTGCTTGCCTGCTCCGCCTGCCACGCAGAGCTGAGAGGTCTTCCTGCCCCTCACTGATCTCACACAGCCTTCCCTCAATAGCCAGAAACCCCAGGATTGAACTAAATCTCCAGCAGATGGGACCCTTCCCTTCTGATTAGAATACTGATTCAGTACAGGGGAGAACCTGTGGCCTCTCTCAGGAACCTGTGTGCTCTCTTGCATGGGATCGGAAGCGCCTAATTCCCGGTGTGAACTTAGATAAGGTTTTTTCAGAGTAGCATCGGTATGTCCAGAGTCCCTCAGAACACCATGGTGACCTCTTTGTTACAGTCTAGACAGTGATGCCCACTTGCTTGAAACGTATGAGACTACACACCAGATGGTTTTCTCATTCACCCTCATCCTCTCCTCCTCTCTCTCTCTCATTTCCCTCCCCCGCCTTCTCCTCCCCACAGCCTTCTCTCTCCAGCTTGCTCAAGGATCCCACTTGAGAAAGCCCCCGATTTGATCTTAAAGACTTAAACCTTAAACTCTTCATGCGATATATTTAGAATGGACTGGAGCAATAAAGACTGGCCATATGACTACAAAAATATGCTGTGCTTGTTTTTGTGGGTGACTCGCATCTCAGAATAGTTTCAAAACACATTTAATAACTATTTTGAATGTGCCCTCTCTGTAAATAATAATAGTTACCTTTACATTTTACTCAAGTGCAATTTAAAAATTTCGAGGGAAAAGGATTTTACTACTACTGCCAAAGCACTCATGTACATACTCGTCCCTGTTCTGCATAATTTTTAAATCGCCTTCTTCTTCTGAGCTAAGCAATGCACTAGGGAGAGGTGTCTGAGAATAAATTAACTCTCAAGGATAGGTGTTTGGAGAACTATTTAAGGTTTTTGGTTATTTCTTCACTTTTGATACAGTTACTGATGATGTGAATAGGAAAAAAATAGCTTTAAAGTGCATTGAAAATTAAACAATGAAAATAACATTTTAAGAAATACCTCTTCCTTTCTACCCTATAAAAATTAATGAATAAGGTACAGCAATACTCTCCATAGATCTGGTAATCTCAGGCTATGTACTTGGATGCTATCTCAGTGTTTAATATTAGTTGATAATGTTGCATGCAGTATCCAGCCAAAGTGTAATGTTACCAAGTTAAGTCCATGCATAGTACAAATTAGACACTAGAACAACATTTATTTTAAGGCTTACTTATTTTATTGTATGCTTATAAGTGTCATATAACATATATTATAACATATATATTATTTATATATTTCATATATTAACATATTCATATATATATGAAAGCGAGTATTATGTCAGTGTACCACATGTGTGCCTAGTCCCTGTAGGGGTAATAACATGGCCTCAGATCCCTCTAACTGTATTATAGGAAGTTGGTAGGTACCATAGGGTGCTTGAAAATGAACCTGGGCCTTCTGCAATAACAAGGAAGTACTCTTAACTCTCCATCCTCCTAGAAGACAATCTTATTATGATCACCCCTGAGTTTACAGTATGGTTCTTGACCATCATTTTTGCCGCCCACATGTAATAAGTATTGATTTATACAATTTTGTTTTTTCTTATGTGGTCCCTTTATAATTTTGTAACTATATTACCACCTTATGCAAATCTTAAATAATGAGAGATTTTAGAATGAATCTTCCCCAAACCCCTATATTATTGCTAATTTTACTAATTAATACAGATGTATTTAATGCCTCTGTGGACATGGGTAAGCCTGTTCAAAATAGATATTAATACTAATTTAAAAAAAGCTCTTATAGCTTTAAATAACACTGCTTCATAGCAGAAGTCTATTTCTTACATCTTCTTATGATTCATGTGACAGCCTGAGGCAGTCACCTCCCTATGTGCCTAGCAACAGGCTAGTAACTCCAGGAAAAAAAAAATGGAGGAAGACAGTTTGACCTTGAGTAACAATGAAAAAGGAGGAATAAAGCTTTTGAGCCAACTTCTAATAAGGTAAAAAGGTTTTGCCTGTTACATCTCCTAACAGAAACTTTAATGACTTAAAAATAACTCCTGTGGTTTCATGATTCTACATTTTAGCTGCTCTGAACTGGGTAGTTATGCTTCTTGTACCAAAACAGATACTGTTATTAGAAGAGACTGATTAGGATAGCTAGCAGTGGGCGGTGGCTGCCAGTTGCATGGTCATCAAAGGAGGCAGATAGCAGCCTCACTTCACACTTATCTTCTCTTGAGAACTGTAACCTGAGCTGCTTACAGTGTGCAGGGTGGGGTCCCAACAGAAGCATCCCAAGCATGCATGGTCAGGACGGAATAATCAAAACCTGCCCGCTTCCCATAATGAGTGGACTACTTCCTCCACAGTCAGAGCACCAGCCTGAGATCCAGGACAAGGTGGGGGGTAAGGAGGAAAAATATTGAGAACTCAATAAAAGGTTCTGCACAGAGTGCAAGGTTGCCCTTAAAAATTATAGCTATCCAAAGATATAGTAATAGGAGTTCAGCAGGAGGCATAGCTAGCTAGGTAGAAAGCAGTGAAGGTCAATAGACTAAGGTTTTAAGAGTGGCATCTGATATCCTTGATTGCCAAAATGTTAGTGAGGTTGATTGCTTAATACTTTTCAATATATCACCATAGAACTGATTTAAAGAAATATGCCCACTCTCAGTTTTTCCTATGATTATAAACTTGTTTTACAAATCAATTGACTTTATATTCTAAAAGATAATACCTATTCGAGTTCTGTTGTTCATATATCAAAGAAAATTCATCATCCACTTTCTTTGGTGAATATAGTTACTGTCAATCTTAGAAACACGAAATGAAAAGCTGTTGATATTTAATATGACTTAAATACAGCACAAGGTACAGTAATTTACTTTTAACAATGTAAGATAGGCTGGGCAGTGGTGGTGCATACCTTTAATCCTAGCACTTGGGAGTCAGAGACAGGTGATTTCGAGGCCAGCCTGGTCTAACAGAGTGAGTTCCAGGACAGGCTGCAAAGCTACAGAGAAACCCTGTCATAGAAGCCAGAACTCTGGGGTTTTACATCTTGAAAACCTGGATAAATTACCAAATTAAGTTGAGATTAGTGTCTGTGTAACTACACTGATTTAGTTTTTAAAAACTGATCTGGAAGCATGCCCAGGACTTGTACACATCTGGGCCTGATGGGAACTTAGTTCTGAGAATAGAAATGGAAAAAATAAAAAACAAAAAACTCTCATCCCTAACCCAGAAGCCATCTCCAACTTATAACCAATTGCAAATGAAAACTAGTTTATTTTTTTCTAATGAAGTCTCACTGGGTACAAAAATAACTCTTAAAGTCAGGTTCCATCCCAGATGTAGATGGCCAACACAAAACAAAGCTTAATGGTATATTTGAAATTTCTTTGTCTCAATCTTTTGTCTGATCTCTCTCTCTCTCTCTCTCTCTCTCTCTCTCTCTCTCTCTCTCTGTCTATCTTACTTACCCTACATGTCTATTGTTTCTATATTATGCTTTCCAATTTCCCCCTTCCTTTTAGGGAATATTTGTGTATATCAATGTTTTTATTTTCTCTATGTCTATATAGGTTTCTTGTGCTTTTTCTTTGGATCTTTGTTTTTTTTTTAATTCATTTGTTTGTTTTGTTCTATTCACTTTTGTAACATGAGGGCCGTGCTGCTTGTTGGGGTTTTTGTCCTGCCCAGTTTCCACAGCCAATATATCCCACAGAAAATCACACAGAGGTCTTCATAAGTTATAAACTGATTGGCTCATTAGCTCAGGCTTTGTATTAGCTCTTATAATTTATATTAACCCACTATTCTTATCTACATTAGCCACATGGCCAAGTACCTTTTTCAGTGAAGTAGGTCACATCCTGCTTCTTCAGTGTCTGGGGAGGACTGCAGAAAGAGCTGCCTTCTTCCCAGAATACTCCTGTTCTCATTGCCCCACCTCTACTTCCTGTCTGGTTGTCCCATCTATAATTGCCAATCAGCGTTTATTGAAAATATAATTGACAGAATAAAATTCTCCCACAACCATACTTTTAAATCTTATTTCTTTTTCACATGCCTGTTTGCTTATACTGATAGAGCAGAAACGTGTGTGGATTCGATGTTCAGGGAGGTGGAGGTTATGAGAAGAATGGGAGGGTGGAACCATAATTAGAATATACCCAGAAAGAAACCTCATTTTTTTTTTTCCAGACAGGGTTTCTCTGGGTAATAGCCCTGGCTGTCCTGGAGCTGACTTTGTAAACCAGCCTGGCCTTTAACTAAGAGAGTTTAACCGGCTTCTGCCTCCCAAGTGCTGGGATTAACAGCATGTGCCACCACCACCGGGCATTAAAAAAAAAAATCTATTTTCCACGTAAAGAAAAGAAAAGAAAGAAATTTGACTCTGGGAACTGGACATCTGGTTTATTAGTTGAAAGCACTTGCTGCTCTTCTAAATGACGCACTGCCTTAAATTACCTGTAACTCCAGTTCCAAAGGAGCCAATGCCCTCTTCTGGCCTTTTCAGGCTCCCCCATATACATATTTCATTAATAAGAACCCAAACACATAAACATAAATAAAATTAATAAAAAATTAAATAAGAAAAAAATAAAATTAATAAAAAATTGCCATAATCAAAAATATAAGTGCTTATTGACACTAATTTAAATAAAGAAAATATAATTACACAATTATATATTTAATTTTACATGAATAAATTACAAAATATCACCCAAAATTTCATAAATATTTTCCAAGTAATATAGCATTTGCTACTACATTTTTTAAAAATTGTAATCATAATAACCTTTTAATTCAATCTTGTCTACAGGGTAAGTTCCAGGACAGCCAGGAGCTACACAAATAAACAAATTTTTAAAAAAATCACCTTGTATTATTAAAA